AAATAAAAACTCACCCCGTTGACCATGCCACCACTTTTCTTCCAGATTCCACAAAATCCAAATAACGCCACCACGAGCATCGTCACGCCGGTAACAACAGTCATAAGCGATGGCACGGCGAATCGTCTACCCTTGTCGTTTTCATAGAAAAATGTCAAACTGTGGTAAAAGTTGTAGGTTGACATGCCAATAACGATCTTTAAGATGCTGAGGAACTAAAAAATCAAGAACGCAGTCAAACATAAATATTATGGTGTGCATCTGTTTTCGTCATTCTGGTTTGTTTATTATTTAATTATTCTTTGGTTGTACTTTAGTCTAATTTTATGCGTCTGTATTTATTTTATGTTTATCGAACTGCCTCCGTGGCCGAACGTCTACCATGCCGGACTGCCACGCAGAGGTTCCAGGTTCGATTCCCGGGCCGGGAGAAATAGTTGTATGGCCTACAATTATTTCTCTCGTGAGTTTGGGTGTAATTTGTGGTTGTCTATGTGTGGGTCCATGGCACCCGCGACACAGGGTTTCCCTAGTGCGGGGCTATGTTGAGTGTATGCGTCATTTATTTATTATCATTTATGCGTAATTGGCCACACGTTGCCAAAAACATCCCATCCAATATTGTGTGATCTTCTGTTTTCGTTTTTTCTTCAGAGAGCATTCCGTTGTACTTATATTTCGAGATTTCTATTCTCAGTATAACCAACGTAGGAAAGATAGGTAGGGGAAAGGTGTACTAGATGATCCTTGCAGGTAAGACAATCCCTTTCAATTGTAGCGAAAATAGTAACGTCATCTAGATATTTTCTTCAGTAAAATGTAGACATCAATGTCTATCATTCAATTCGTAATAGCGATGTGAGTGACGAGTTCATTTTTGTGGAAAAGAGCAAAAATTGTGTGAGTTTAGTCTAAGGTAAAGTTGATTAAAAGCTTAGGCAACTTTCATTCTAAGCAACCAATTGCTAAGATTTTTGTGATGGTGGCTTTGTATAATGCTCTATTTACTTTTTTAATGGTATGGTAACAGTAGACAGTGTACAGGTTATTTTGCCGAACAAGAAATAAAAATAAATAAATTGGGGCAAGATGATTATAGTTTTGGTGTACGAGATGATCCGTGGGGATCATTTTGTACTGTATATATTGTTAATGTACTATTTTTAATTTGTATGTTTTTCTGAGTAGAAATCTCTTAATTATATAGTTTGCAATACGAATATACGAAGAAACGAAATAGTAGAAGACTGGATTTCGTTTACATGATCGATCTCAATTAATAACAAATATAAATGCTTTTTCTTGTTTTAGACCAGGCCCCGTAATTATAAAAGAAAAACGAATCGTGGTGAGCGGTCGGAAGACTATGATCTAAAGAACTAGAGGCGTAAAAAGTAGGATGCCACATAGATTGGCAAGTAAATAGTTCGCAGTAGGTACGCGTTATGTCATTAAAAAGACGGGCTAAAGGTAATAATAAAGGGTCTGTTGGTTCAAAGAAATATTTAGGTGAAAAAAAAACTGTTTTCATCAGATGTGTTAAACAGGAAATCGAGCTTGTCAAGTACATTAAAGATATGGAGACGAGGATGTATGGGCTATTGAAACAGGATGTTTTGTCAATGTCAAAAACAATATCGCCCACCCTTAGGTACCTGTAAGATATTAATTAATTAGGATTATTTGTTCTCGAAGTTCCGTAACTATTGTTTCATATACCTAGATTACATAAGTGAAGACTTTGTTAAGTCTAAAAAGTTGTTGTTTTCATTTGTTTCTACCAAAATCTAAAAATTGTCCTAAATAGGGGCAAGATGATCCCCTGGATCGTCTTGCCCATACCCTGAGGATCATCTTGGACACCCCGGTGTCCAAGACGATCCTTTAGTAGGGTTTTAAAAATATTCAAATATAATAATGAAAGATCAAAAAATAAAACGTTTTTAGGAAGACAACAAGTAAATAGATACATTTTCTATAATTCAACGCTTTTACACCTGCTTTAAGCTAAATATCTTTTAAACTTCTAATAATCTGCACGAATGCTATGAAGAGTGTCCCCATAAGAATATATAGCTATTTTATTTATTTTAATAAATTGGTTATGTATATAATATTTTACGTTAGCAATTACTGTTGGTAACTAATTTTCAAACTGTTTGTATTTTTCGAACTAGTTCGATACAATGATTATATAAAAATCCAGAATCCAAGCTCTATTTTACGAGTTATAAATACGAAGAAATATATCCTTGTGGTACCTCATATATTTTTTTTAAATTTATAGTCAATAACTTTTTCCTAAATTTCTGTACATCACGACAACAAATTAATGAATTCCTTTTGTTTTTTGGTAGCTTAACAAAGGATGGTAATGACAGCCGACAGCCGACTAGCACAGCTCTATGTGCTAATAGTTAAAATTAAATGCATTCATAAAAACCATTGAGTTACAAATAAATGGACGACGGGTCTAATACAAAAACCACGGAAAAATGTCCCAAGTCAACCTATTTAAACGTAGTGACATGTAAAGGAATATGAAAAAGCTAAAACGTTGAATTTAAATTGTAATGTCATCGCAATACTGTCTAATTTTCCTTGCTTCGCTGTCAGTCGAACAAACGAAGACTAAAGCGTGAATGACGCTCTGTATACGATTTTAACGCCCTATAAGTTCGGACACTTTTTAGCGCGGACTTCCATATAATTGTAAGTCAATGATAAAAGCTTACATTTTATTATTGGCAAATTATAAACAACCATAATGTATATCTGTGTGTCTATTTGTATGTAAAAATATATACAAACATAATTAGGATAATTGTATTAATGATCACAAATAACCTTATCGAAAAACAAATTACTCGTGTTAATATTTTGGTTTCGCATACAAACTGTTAGAAGAACCATGCCCGAACGAACTTATTTTTATATGTAAACTATGACCAACTCTCTTCAATTTATAAAAACAATATATAATTAACATGTTGATAGAATGAATAACGTCAGGTTTTCAGTTGTGTTACTGCTATTACTTCATCATGTCGTACCACTTTTTTGTTATTTTTTTTTTATATTAAGGTACGGGACGAACAAGTGCACGACTTGTGCCTGATGGTACGCTACACGCCTGTCCATAACAATTGCAGTGCCACTCAGAGATTTAAATCGCAAAGGTCTGAGGGGCACTGCCACTGCGTCAGACACCCTGAAACATAAGTTGATAAGTCCCATGTGCCTGTAATTACACCTGGTGCCAATATGTCGTAAGTTACCAAAACCCAGATGCGTTAGGTATGACAAGGAGGCAGATGTGCTATCAATTTGTAACCATTTGCCATGACATTGATTGGATACGTTATCACTAGCGCATTGCGTAAGTATACTTTTTCTAACAAATATTATTTAAATTATACGTTTGGAAAAAGTGCATTTTTGACGTGACAGTTTGAAAGAAAATATTTTACTTTTTATTTCAATCAGTGTCTCATTTTATAATTCCTAGGCTAAATGTCTTCTAATTCAAATCTATTAACAGTTTTATTTTACGAAAAAACATTTACTTACAATAAACATCCCTGTTACGGCTAACAATAGAACCCTTAGGGATTTCATACAAGTCTCTGGTTTTGCCTTATTGGATTCCACCTGTGTGGGCTCGGGTTCATCTGGTTTGATAATTGCGCTCATTTTCAACTTTGTTGTTTATTATCACAAACACAAGTATTCAATTTACAAATTTAGTTATCAGTTGATAAGTCTGATAAACTTTTGTTCCCGATAGACGTCTAATTCCTATTGAATGTCATAAGATACTAAAGCCGCGTGGGTAAACCCGCTAAAACCCCTATTCGCTTATGATCTTACTGTGTTTCAACTTCTGACGCTAATTGATTTTAGGTATTCTATGTGCTCCGTGTATATTTGCGTGTGGAATACGTTTTTACAGCCTTATGTAACCCCAAGCGACACAACCTCCATATCTGACAGCTAAAGCGAACAGGGGGGAACCGTGGCGGCTCTGTCTGGTACGGGCGGACCGCGTGCGAATTTAGATAATTTCCTTTGTTTTATTAAAATAAATACACATTTTGAAAATATACGGAGTACCAATACGTTACCACTGCGCGCGTGCATAGTCAAGTAACGGCTTTACTTGTTGTTTGTTTAAAAGTTAGAGTTTAATTTTTCTTACTTTTATTACTTATATATAATAATAATATAACCGCTACATAACTATAACGTAGCGTCGATTTCTGCCTTAAATTGGCCGCCTCTTTATTTTCACGATTACAAAAGAATTTTCGTAAATGTAGTAGCTACTTGATACTAGAGGCGCCAAAGTCGCGCCACTGCAGCGTTTTTGCAAAGGTCTAATTTGAAAGTCTTCATTGTAAGCATTATGGGAAATTAAACATTTTTTTCGAATCTAAATCAGTTATATTTGTTTCTTTTTTTCAAACCAACTAACGTTTCAGGCCCTTTACAGGCCCCATTATCACGCCTGACTGAGATAGTAGAGCCGTCAACCAATTATATCTATTATTATGCTAACCACTCTATTCTGAATTATAGTTACAAAAGTTAATAATTGAAATACCTTATTTTTAATTTACCAAAGAATATTCTCATTGGAAAGTTCTTAAGTAACAATTATAGGCGATTTGGATTCGAAAAAATAGTTTCATTTCCAATGTGTAACAATGTGTAAGTAGATATGTAGAACTTTGTTATCTTCGAAAGCATTATTTTTAGTTTAATAAAAAGTAAGACTACGTTTCTGTACATACATACAATTAAAATACATAATTATTCATGCATTTATCCTTAAATAAATTCACGTAGTCTTATATCTATATATATAGTATATCTGTCATATCAGCTATTTTTATTAATTATATTGATAATTCGTTTGAATTCTAGAAAACTCTATGTAGGTATTAAGCATTAAAATAAAAGAGAAATAAAGCAGTAGAAAAATATTTGTTCTTTATTTGGCGGAAGGTTACATAAAGTAGCTTATAGATAGATGTAAAGGCTGACAAGTAACTTTTTTACCATGACCTATACGCAAAGTATGTATTTGACATGAATTCTGATGAAGAAATTTTTTTTTTTTAAATGAAACTATTTTTCCAATTTATACGACGTATATTTGTTTTTCAAACGAACCCAAAAGAGCAAAAAGGTGTGTTTAAAAAACAAATATACGCGATTGATCCGGAAAAATAGTTTCATTTCCAATTCGGTATTTCTTTTTAGATTCCACAACATAGCCAGGACTAAAACGAGTGTCAAAATTCAACTTTCCAGGCACGAGTAGTGAATCTTTAAAACCTATTTTGTTCATATTACTTAGTTATTTAGTTTAATTTTATTCTACTGCGCCAATCTTGTAATTTCTTTCTGTTGTAAAGAAATAAATGCCTGTTTTATTTTATTTTATTAAGTCCTTCAATAAAATGTTGATAATAAAATTTAAGCGACACTCGAGTCAGGTTGGTCGATGTACACAGCTTCTTTTTTCCTTTCTTCCTGCCGCGCCAGAATCATCTGCTCCTTTATCTTCCATTCCATGAGTGCCCTTTCGCTTTTCACCTTACGGATACAATGAGCTAGGAGCAGTGAGAAGATTAGGCTTAGGAACTGGAAAATTAAAATATCATTAAAGTTTTTTGGACAAATATGTCGTGTCTGGTTGTAAACACACCTGTCCATAACAGTTGCAGTGCCACTAAATCACAATTGAAACTTAAGTTGACAAGTCCCATGTGTTCGCAATTTCACCAGCACCCCTAAGATCTTAAGTCACACTGAAAGAGCAGAGGCTTGCAGCCGTCGGAGAAGCTAGCACGATGCCTCTTTGAACTAGTCGCTATATCTCACGCGGCCTCGCTGTTGCTCGCGGTGCCGAACTATACATTTTATCACTTCAAAACAATTTCTTCTTTAGAAGATAAGATTCAGAATGCTAAAGTATTACTACTTTGCACCTAAAGTGTTCCTACGGCGGCCGCTCTTTCAGTGTGACTTGACCCTAACCCTTCAAAACAACGGGGAGGGTTGTGATCCTTTTTCGACGGGTAGGTTTCGTCACGACGTTTTCCTTCACCGAATAGCTCATGGTGAATTTCAAATTAAATTTCGCACATAAATTCCGAGAAACTCAGAGGTGCGAGCTCGCTAATACGAACACACGACCGTCTGCTTGAGTAAGTGAATAATAATTGATTTCAATTCTGTGTTTTAAATAAAAGCAGTGTTAACATTAATTGTAATAAGTGAAGAAAATTTCTAAAAAACATACCAGAATGAACATTACAGACACTCCCAGTACACCGATTACGGCAGAATTTTGTACGAAAGCTCTAGCCAGTGATTCGGCACAACCAGTGGTCCTTATCCTGAGACATGTTGGGCCGTCAGGTACCGAACAGCAGGTCATTGGGAGCTCGATCAAGTCATGGCCATAGTGGAAAGTATCGTTGTCTGGGAATTTTACACCATAGTAATCCGTAAAGTTCTTACTGCCACAGCAGTTGAGCTGAAAGTTCATCATAATGCCATTTTTATGGAATTTGCACTCTATTATTAGGGGAAAGGTGTACGAGATGATCCTTGCAGGTAAGATGATCCTTTTCAATTGTAGCGAAACCATAAACGTCACCTAGATATTTTCTTCGGTGAAATGTAGACCTCAATGTCCTCCCCTGCCCTCTCGTCAGTCAATTCGTAATGGCAATGTGAGTCACGAGTTCATTATTGTGGGAAAAAAAATTGTGTGAGTTTGATCTAAGGTAAAGTTGATTAAAAGTTCACATTCAGTCATCGGCATTCTAACTGAGCGGACGTATCGCTGTTTTGGTAGTTTTGAGTTTTTGATTTTTGTTTCGTCATTGTCGTTGATTGTGGATTTCTGCCTCCGTAATCGGTGGCTCCTGCTCTTGCTTGGGCTGTTTGCTATTGAGTGCCGCGGCCATATTTGTTTTGATCGGACTTCTCGCTCAAGATAATCCTCGAAACTCGGTGCCTCCTGTATCATCTTGCTGGATTCTCCATAAGCGACTGCGGCCATCTTGATAAAGATCGGACCTCTCTATCATCGCTGTACGGGGGGGGAGGCGCGCGGAAGGAAATTGTGAGTTTTTTGGCCTGTATTAATTGCGTCGTTCAACTTACCAGTGAAAGAGGAGACCGAAAAACAAATTTGAGAAATACTTTCCGGGTGGGTGAGATTCGATCCGGCGTCACCTGCGCCAAAGGCAGAGCATGTAACCGCGGAGCTGTCAGGCGATTGTAGCTGCGCTGCGAAATAACGAAGCGCATTCCTAATTAGCAGACGTAGCACGTCTACGTGTATACAGGCTACAGCTACGACACCATCAAGAGCTACGCCCACATTTGATGCATATGAATTAATGACTTTTGCTCTCACGTGAAGTAATAACGAAAATGTCTGCTGCTAAAATATCATGGGGCTGTTGTAGTGAGTTAACAGACGAGGAAGACTATCTACTGTGCGTGGGTTGCAAGTTGGCATTTCACTTTAGCTGTGTAAAGATTAATCCTGTTAATAGGAAAACAAATTGGAAGTGTTTGCAATGTTCCGGTCGCAAATACAGAAAGGATGACACACCTGTAAGAAATACTAGTGAACTGAATCTATCGTCTCCTACTGAATTTATTACTAAACGATCTGCCAAGAGATCAGCTTTCAACTCCCCACCTACCCCAGACCTCGCCTCATCCCTAACAAGGGATGATGTATGTGATGTGGTCAATGGAGTGTTTGAAACGAAAATGAAGGACCTGGTCTCCCAATTGAGTACTTCAGTAACCAACACGTTTAGGGATGAGTTAAAGTATATAAAAAATGAGATTTCGGAGATCAAAGAATCAATGCAGTTCATAAATAACCGATATGAAGAGTTTATGGTTGAACATAAGTCTGCAGTTGAGGAAATGAATAGTCTGCGTGCAAGTAATACTAATATGGGTATCCAAATTACCAATTTAAACAACCGAATTGCACAATTGGAACAGCAGGCGAGGGCTAATAACGTTGAGATCCAATGTGTCCCTGAAACTAAAGACGAGAATCCTGAAGGAACTGTAATGAATTTAGTAAAATTCTTAAAATGCAATATTACCCAAGAAAACATAATTAAATGCACCCGTATTGCGAAGTTAGATCGCTCTAGTCCGCGCCCACGTTCTATAGTGGTTCAATTGAGCTCTCCAAAACTTCGGGACGTTTTACTAGCTGCATCTGTAAAGTATAACAAAAATAATCCCAGCGATAGGCTCAATTCTACGCATATCGGATTCTCGAAGAATAAAACACCGGTGTTTGTATGTGAGCACCTTTCGCCAGCAAATAAGGCTCTTCACGCAGCAGTCAGGAAGCGTGCTAAGGAGCAGAGCTTCAAGTACGTTTGGATTCGTAACGGTAGAGTGTTCGTGCGCAAAGACGATGATGCCGACTATAAACTTATAGCTGATATGAACTCCTTAGATAAAATCAAATAGTAGTTCAAATTACGTACCTACCTGTATACAGTTTTACAGATCCTTTGCATGTTTTTTTTCCTTTTTAAAATTCATAATGTTCAAAATATATTATCAAAATGTTAGAGGATTGCGCACTAAAACAAACAACTTTTATACAAATGTTCAGTGTAGTGCTTTTGATATAATGGTTTTAACTGAAACCTGGCTCAATGTTGGTGTACTAGACGAGGAATTGTTCGATACTAGATACGCTGTTTACAGGAGAGATAGAGGGGTTTCTGCTTACTCAAACAAAAAAGATGGTGGGGGCGTGCTTATTGCTGTCCTTAAAAAACACAATTCTTCTAGAGTTGCATTCTGGGAAAGCAATTGTGAGGATCTGTGGGTTACGATTGATATAAACATTTCTGACGCTATTAAACAAATTGCACTATGCGCAGTATATTTGCCACCTCCTGTAAACAGAGTTATATTAGATAATTTTCTTGAGAATTGTTATCGCGTTATTAATCGGCGTAATGTTGAATCACTGTATTGTTTGCTCGGTGACTTTAATCTTGGTTGCCTGAATTGGAGCCTGGTCGGTGACTCCGCATATGTTGTACCTCGGAATGCTCAACCATTGGTAGAATTTTGTTCTGAGTGCGGTCTGGAACAGTGTAACTTTGTGGTAAATGAGAGCAACAAAATATTAGACTTGGTACTTACCAATGCAACCAGTTGTCGCGTTGTTGGCAGCCCTGCTTGCCTAAGCAAATTAGACCCTTACCATCCACCGATTGAAATAGACCTAACACCACACGCTGGCTGTGAGACGTTGAAAGACAATCCTACTCAACTTCGATATAACTATTATAAAGCAGACTATAACTCTATCAAAACAGATCTAAGTAATATTGACTGGAGCAAAAAGTTCAGTGACAGTAATTGTGTTGATGTGATGGTAGATATCTTCTACTCTGAGTTAAACTTAATTATTAAAAAATTCGTACCCTTGCACGCACCTAAGAATCGCAAGTACCCGCCGTGGTTTTCACATAATTTGATCAAGCGTCTAAAGGAAAGGAATAGATTACGACTAAAATTTCGAAAATACAATAATCCTTTGGACGAACTCAGCCTAAAGTTGCTAAGTAAAAGATGCGAGAAATTGGCTCTATCGTGTTACAACTCTTATACTAATAAAATTGAATGTAATATTAAAGAAAATCCCAAATCGTTCTGGACGCATATAAAAAATAAGAGGAATGGAAAGAGTTCTTACCCAACGTCAATGTTGGATGAAGATTCAAACAAAAATGTCTCGAACGGAGAGGAAATTTGTAACTTGTTCGCATCCTTTTTCGCATCAGTGCACTCGGTGAATTTACCAAATGTTGACAATACACTTGAATCGACTGCATGGACCCAGATTGTTTTTAATAACGATTCACTCGCTGTGTTAGAAGTAGAAAGAACTTCACTTCTAAAATATTTAAACTCCTTAGACTCCAGTAAAGGAGCGGGGCCTGACGACATACCCCCTTTTTTCATAAAAAAAATGTGCTTCTCTTTTAGTAATTCCACTATTGATTATTTACAACAAATCCCTAAAATCCGGTATCTTTCCAACACAGTGGAAAGTTGCTAGGGTTGTTCCCATTTTCAAAGGTAACAATGACAAAATGGTTAGTGATTATAGACCGATTTCTATTCTGAGTACGTTTGCAAAAATCTTCGAAGCTTTGGTCGTGCCCATTCTTCAAAATTTCTTGAAAAAACATTCTACCGATCATCAACATGGCTTCTTGCGGTCAAGATCAACCACAACTAATCTGGTGACATTTGTAGAGAAACTGTTAGCGTCCGTAGATGTGGGTAAACAAGTTGACGTAATCTACACGGATTTCAGTAAGGCTTTCGATAGAGTTCCACAGAAATTACTGATTGACAAACTGTCCGCGTGTGGTGTCACTGGACCCATGCTTAGATGGTGCTGGTCATACTTATGTGATCGTTCTTTCTGTGTGGTGTTGAATGGGTTCAAGTCTAACTATTTCAAAATTACGTCCGGAGTACCTCAGGGTTCGCATTTAGGTCCAATATTTTTTAACATATTTATTAACGACATTCCTGCGATATTAAGTAACTCAACACCCTATTTATTCGCTGATGACCTCAAGATTCTTAAAGAAATCAATGGTACTGCCGATTCGGAGGCCCTTCAGATGGATATTGATAAAATTCATTGCTGGTGTAGAGCAAATGGCATGGAACTTAATGCAAGTAAGTGTTTCCAAATAACCTATACACGTAACCTCAACCAAGTAGACTACCAATACCACGTGGATAGTACTTGTTTGCAAAGAGTGGGCACAATCAAGGACTTGGGTATTATATTAGACTCCAAACTTACTTTTGTACCTCAAATTGATAAGGCTATACTTAGGGCAACTAAAACTCTTGGTTTTGTACTCCGCAACAGCAGAAATTTCAAGAATCCTATTACAAAAATAATATTATATAATAGTTTTGTTCGTAGCACCTTGGAGTATGGATCTATAGTGTGGCGTCCGCATTATGCAACCCACACACTTAGGCTAGAGAGGGTACAGAAACGCTTCATTAATAATTTGACTTTCAAGGCCGGTGCTTCTAAAAGATTACGCTCTTATAAAATGAGATTAAAAAAATTTAAAATGATTTCACTCGAAAAGCGCAGGGATCTATTGGACCTAGCCTTCCTTCACAAAATATTCAACCACAGGATTGACTGCCCACAACTCACAACAATGTTTAAATTTAGCGTTCCTCATCGATACCCTCGTAAAAAGATCACTGCTCTTTTGTCACCACCACACAGGAGAACTAAATTGGGTTTCAATTCACCGGTCTGTCGTCTGTCCAGACTGCACAACGAATATAGTGCAAAAGTCGATATTTTCTCGGACTCGATGGCCGTCCTTCGTAAGGCAATCCTAGGCACGTAAATGTACTGTATTTTTAAAACTAATTGTTAAAACAAATTTCACTACACATTAACTTCTTAATTTTCATTTTAACTTTATATGTAGTATATTCTTTTCACCTGGTATTGATATAATGTAATATTAAGACTATCCTGCTCAATTTAATGCAAGCTGTGTTTCATCTTTAATTAGTTGTGCATCTAGTTTAAATACTCTTACCAATGTAAAATGTAAATGTATCGATGTAACAATTGTTGATGAACCTAAATAAATAAATAAATAAATAAATAAAAGCTTAAAAAGATTAAAAGCTTAGGCAACTTCCATTCTAAGCAAACAATTGCTAAGATTTTTGTGTTGGTGGTTTTGTATAATACTCTATTTACTTTTTTAATGCCGTGGTAACAGTAAACAGCATATAGGTTATTTTGCTGAACAAAAAATAAAAATAAGTAAATTGGGGCAAGATGATTATGGTTTTGGTGTACGAGATGATCCATGTGGATAATCTTGTACTGTATATATTATTAACGGACTATTTTTAATTTGTATGTTTTTCTGAGTACTGAAACCAATAATTAAAAAGCTTGCAATACGAATAAAATAGTAGAAGACTGGATTTCATTTACATGATCGATCTCGATTAATAACAAATATAAATGCTTTTTCTTGTTTTAAACCACGCAGCGTAATTGTAAAAGAAAAACCATTCGTGGTGGGTGGTCGGAGGACGCCACATAGATCGGCAAGTAAATAGTTCGCAGTAGGTACGCGTTATGTCATTAAAAAGACGGGCTAAAGGTAAAAATAAAGGGTCTGTCGGTTCAATGAAATATTTAGGTGAAAAAAAAACTGTTTTCATCAGATGTGTTAAACAGGAAATCGAGTTCGTCAAGTACATTAAAGATATGGAGACAAGGATGGATATCAACTTGCCATAAAAAACAATATCGCTCACCCTTAGGTACGTGTAAGATATAAATTAATTAGGAATATTTGTTCTCGAAGTTCCGTAACTGTTGTTTCATATACCTAGATTACATAAGTGAGGACTTTGTTAAGTCTAAAAGTTGTTGTTTTCATTTGTTTCTACCAAAACCTAGAAATTTTCCTAATAGACGCAAGGTGATCCCCTGGATCGTCTTGCCCATACCCCAAGGATCATCTTGGACACCCCGGTACAGGGTACAGGGGGCATCCGGGCCGAACCCTCCGCCAGTGATACGTCTTAACGGGTGTCTATGGCGGACCCGGTCTCGCTGGGGTTTGTGGTTAGCTGCAGGGAGGAACACGTTCGTTTGCCCCGGTAGTATGTGGCCGGGGCGTTAGTCCCGTGCGCAGCTAGTGCGTCTTAGTAGCAGTCTAGACGAGGGCCTAATGGCGAGGACACGCGCGGGGCACGTGAGTTGCCCTTTAAGTCGTTAGCTATGCCCGGACATTGTCGCAGCATGCAGCTACCGGCATCTCCGACACTAGCCCGTAGAGCTAGTAGAGGATATCTGTACATCCTCCGGTCCCTCCAACCGCGTAGGAATTTGGGAACTGGAGAGACGCCGTTTATCGACATTGGGAAGGGAGCGTGCCTTACAGATCCGCCACCAAAGAAGAGATTCTTTGGTCGGCTTAGAGTCGACGACTCAGCGGTGGCAACCGTAAGTTGCGCAGAGCACGACAGGAAGTGAATGTGCCGGCAGCTTCGTTACCTATCTGGAAAATAGGGAGGGTGTTGTACGTGCACGCTGGGCGGCTCACCTAAGGCCTTATAGAGAACCGGATGAAGTCCGTGCAAACGAGCTGATCTGGGGTTAGGACCTGATTTAGATGGTCCCTGTGCGGGCATGCTCGCGCAAGTCATAGTGCCCTTCTCGTATACCCTATGGGTCGGTAGGGGGGTCACTATAATCAAAACGAATGTAGAAAGATATGGAGGCTGTATCGACCGTTACTTTTTTAAACTCTATATAAGTAAATTACTTGAGGCTTCGAAAATAGAAATTTGACAGTTTGTTTATTTGTAGCTGTTGTCCACCGTACTCACAGGGTAGTTGAATTTAGAAATTTTAGTTCATAATTGTTACGTACCCCAACTTGCAAAGCATCAATGTCGTCTCGGAGCTCCGTGTCATTTCCATACATATAAATGGGAATGTAAATATAGTTCATAAGGGTTTCGACACTCGCCGTGAATGCTAGGATGACAATCACCAGTTTGATGATCAGCAAAACGGTCACCAGTAACGCGTACTGAAATAATTTAATGATGTATTTCACCTCACAATGGATATGTTTATTACAAGTGACAACTAAATTACCTATAATTAGAGTTAATGAAAACTATAAGTCGAAATGTTTTTTAAAGATATTAATTTATATACAGGATGGTTTGTAAAATACTAACAACCTCGCATGACTATATTTCCAACCACTTTTGTTTCAGGACTTTCAATAATTCATCGGATTTTCCTTTCGTACAAAAATAAAAATATTGGAATAGACCGCTCTAAACGGTGATAAGTCTGTGTGGTAAGAAAAGTAAGCACCAACCACCATTTTGTTATGAATCATAACACGCGAGAGGCGTTGCTAAACAACTTACTCCCAAAGAAAGATCTAAAAAGTGTCAGATAGCACAATAAAAACTTAAAAGTTTATTTTGGGTAAGTTTATTATGTTTTGCAAAAAGTTATGCAACGAAAGTTGTTGGTTATATTGCCACCTTAACTATTTCTACCGCCAAGCAGTAATGTCAGCATTATTGCGTTCCGGTTTTGAAGGGTTTAAGGGTGCTGGTAAAATTACAGGCACATGAGACTTTTCAACTTAAGTCTCAGGGTGACGGGTGCAGTGGCAGCGCCCCTCAGACCTTTGCGATTTAAAGCTCTGAGTGGCCCTGCAACATTATGGACAGGGGTGTCGCTTACCAACAGGCGCACTACTTGCTCGTCCCGTCACTTCATATCATAAAAAAGTCCTGCGAGGTTGTTAGATTTTACAAATAACCCTGTATAATGTTCGTTAATAGTTACCCAATAAATCATTTTGTATATTAACCTTTATATCGAAAGTTAATGCAAATATCTATACCTAGTCGAAATCAAATAATAGAACATAAAGACCTACCATATTGACCATGCAAGTGCTCTTCCTCAAAGCTCCATAAAAGCCGAATGACGTCACCACGATCATCATAATGCCGATAATGACTGTCAGAATCGATGGCGTGACGAATCCACTGCCACTTACGTGGAAAGATGAAAAGATGTGGTAATAGGAGTAGACAGACATGCCAAGTACGATCATTAAGCAAGAGCAACCAATGAGCTAAAAAATCAGGAACATAGTTATAAACATTATTGCTGAACATTTGTTTCTGTCAATTTGGTTTGTATTAATCACGTATTGCCAACATACACAACAAAAAAAATCACACAAATATTGCGAAACTTTCTCGTGATCTAGATACCTCTTTCGTCCTTTCTTCAGAAAACGTACCTGAGTTCAAATCTTGGTACAACTGATTTAGAAAACAAAATGGTAGAAACAACAGACGTTTTAATACTAATGAATGCTGTGTAGGAAATATCTTCATACCTAGGAAATGAAACTATTTTTCCGGATTTAAATCGCGTATATTTGTTT